GCACAAGTATTAAAGTATTACACTGTACCCATACTTACATGCAATTATTGCATGTTAATTATACATCTTTCTGAAATTGTTTAAGAAAATAGAATTGTTGACTATCGTGATAGCGATCATTACACACTGTATACATGAATTGAATTAATATGCCATCCTCTATTTGTACAATTAAGAAAATAATTATTGAATAAAATATTTCAAATTATGCAATTCAAAAATGATGAGATAATAGAATAAATCAGACATTATTACGCCATATGCATACATGATTGTATGACCTATGTTACTACTATACATCATGTAAACCCAATGAATCAGAAGTCATACTCCATTTATGTATAATATGTCAAAATGCAGTCTAATGTCTTGAATAATGAATTGGAACAATTTTTTAGAAATACATTTAAATAATTGTTAAGAATTTTTTTAAAAACTAGGGAAATTTTTTATACTGTGGATATTTGCCTCAATATTGTTATCATTTACTGCCTACATTTATCCTATAACAAACCTCAAATATGAACAATAAGATTCACCCTAAAATAAATTAAATTTAAATTAAATGAAATCCCAAAAGTCAAAATAACATATACAAATTATTTCAAAACAATTACAAATTTTTGAAATGCAAGAAAAAAATGGTCAAAGTGCCTGAGTCAGTGGCCTAAAAGAATAAATACAAATGGCTTAGGAACATGAAAATATGCTCAATTTCATGAGTACACAGAGAAAATGACATTAAAATCATCAAGGGGACTTTGAACACCTTACTTTGGTGTTTGCTGAAGTCCTAAATCTGCAACACCCAAAGACAGAGTGATTCTTTGTTGGGGAGAATCCCAGAAGCTGGAGTCTGTATCTGAAGCTCTTGTTTCCTCTGAGCTTAATTTATACTTTAGTAAAGCTTCTCTAGAGCCATCTTAACATGAGGTCTGGTACCACAGCCTGCCCTCAGTGACTTCAAGCTCATTGCCTGGTGACCATAAGGGCCTGATACCTCGTGAAGAAGTGACCAGGAACCTCCAGAGACCATGTGTATCACAAAGTGGCAAATGCTGATTGGAGTTTTAAAATCTTAATTTAATATTTATGGAAAAGTGATTGTACATATCCATAGGGTGAATGTGATATTTTTAACACATGCACACAATGTGTCCTGAACAAAAAGGCTTAAGGGAAATTTCCCTGCCCATATCATTACCTTATTATTCCAGGTTTCTGATACTCACTTCAGATCTTAATAAAACACATGACAAGGTCTGGGCACTGCAGCCCCCAACCACCCCCACTCACTGTGGAACACCAGGATGGGGTCTTCCTATTCACCTGTGTTCCTGTACCTGTTATCCAGCCTCCCTCCCTCCTCCTCCTCCTGCCTCCTTCCCAGCCTCCAGGGTCACTATTCTGTATGTAGATTGAGGCTCCTTTGACCTCCACATAGGGGCACATACAGTGTTTGCTTCTGTCTGGCTTCTTTCAAGGGACACAAGGGCCTGTCCCCTTTATTCTCTTGAAAATGACAGGATTTCATTCTTCCTGAAGGCTGAAGAGCACTCAGTTATGAATATAACACATGTGACTACTGTGAATAGTGCCCCAGGAACATTGGGAAGTGCAGGTTTGTCTTTGGAAGCTAATTTCATGCTCTCTATTTTTTTTTTATTATCAAGTTCTACGTCCATGAGTCTGCATTTTTTTTTCTGCCTCAAAGACTCTTAGGAAACCTGGCCATGTGTAGTTTTGTGGCTCAGACTCTCTCTTCTTTCTCTTAAACTTAGTCCCCAACTTGGTGCTAATGGAAGGTGGAAGAAATGCTAAGTGTAAGCTGTAAGTTCATTTGGGAATGAAAGGGATTGTAGGACCTTAAACTATTCCTCTATCGTTTCACTTTCAGGACATGAAGTCAGCCCCTTTCCTCTGCCACATGCTTGTCACCCCTCTTCATGGGCTCATTGCAATAGGGCCAAGCCATGGGGCCAATCCATTACAGATTGGAATCTTGAAAACTGTGAGACAAAATAAATGTTCTCTCCTTATCTATCGATTATCTCAGGTGTTGTGTTATAGTAATATAATTCTTACTTGCAATGAAAGTGCATGATGCAAACACATTACCCATAGTTTAGACCCACATGCAGAAAAGGCTTTGAACTGGTTCCTGACTGTCAAAATTCTAGAATGATAGAAGCTAAGTACACTGCTATGTTATTGATGAGTTGCCTGAATAGGGAAACTCGGGACACTGGTAGATCACAAAACAGTGTGGGGTTCCCATATTTGTGCAGAAGGGAGTCAGTAGAAGATGTTCTCTCAAGAAAAAAAAAATGACAGTGAAAATCAAAGCTTCTTCAGTATTGTCTCCTAAGGTCTACGCAGTAGAGAGCGAAAACAATGAAATGTCAAATACCAACATTTCTTATTGTTTCAAACATGTTTATTTCAATATCCAACATTTTATAATTATCTTGAAAGCAAGCTTCTCTTTATCCACAATCTTCTGTACATTTTATGTATGGATTGACATAAAATTATAGCACATTACCAAGAAGACAATGTTCTCTTCATTTGCCTACTCTCTTTAGAAGAATGTGCACAGGGTAATTTTAAGCATGGTAATTATAACCATGACAGCAAGGACAGCTTACAGTTACATGGGAGAAAAAGAACAGGAATCTTGATTTCAAGAGGAAAGGGAAACACATCAACATATAAACTGTTTACAAACACTTGCCCTGCTAAATTTCACTTTTTTATATTTATAATTCTGAATGGACATTTTCCTTTGGAGAAAATTGTGGATTAACATGCTGTAGTAAGAAAAGACAGCGAGAGATCCAAAGGCCCTTTAGTCAGTTTCCACCATGGTAACACAGAGCAAAATATCACAGGCAGCTTATTAGCACTGATAATATGGAAATGAAATCACAGAGCAAAGAGAAGCACCCTGCCCATGTCTTACTACATCATTCACACAGGGTAAGATATGGAGTCAATCTAAGTGCCCATGACCAGAGGAGTGGAGGAAAGAAATGTGGTATATAGACTATTTGGAACATCAATTAGCCTTATGTGAGATGAAATCCTGTCCTTTGGGGAAACATGGATGGAACCAGGGCATATTGTGCTAAGTGAATAAGACAGATACCAAAAGAAAAGTACTTCATGTTCTCTCACAAATGAAGAAGATAAAAATAAAGGTAACCTGAATGCAGAATAGAGATTACTAGAGGTCAGGAAGGGGTTGGAGAGGGTGGAGAAAGGGAGGCTGAATTTGATGAGTGCACACTGTGGGCACGTGTGGAAATATCAGGCCGAACCTCCTTAATGTTTACAATTAATTATTTTCATCAAAATAAAATACAGAACAGTTCCCATCAGTGAAGAATCCCAAGTTTTGCTCTGTTAGAGCCCCATCCACCTTCTTCCTGCCCAGTACCTGGATCATTATAACCATCAATCTATTCACCATTTACATATTGCTATCTTTTAAAAAGTGTTATCTAGCACATAAAAATAAATGCCTGGAAAAATGTTGCAGTTGTTACCTCTGGAGACCTGTTTTGCCCATCCTATGTCAGGCAGTGTGGACACAATGTTAAAACAATAACAGGATCCAAAAGATGAGAATAAGCCCTAATGACCAGCTAACACCTTGGTTTGTTAAAGGCTACCTCATCAAGGATGGAATGTTATGAAAGTAATATAGGAAGAAAATCATGAACACACACAATTGAAAAACTATTCTCACCTGAGCATGGTAGTGCACATTTATTTATTTATTTATTTATTCTTTTTTTTTATTAGTTATTCAAAACATTACATAGCTCTTGACATATCATATTTCATACATTTGATTCAAGTGGGTTATGAACTCCCATTTTTTCCCCTTATAAAGATTGCAGAATCACATCGGTTAAACATCTACGTTTTTACATACTGCCATACTAGTGTCTGTTGTATTCTGCTGCCTTTCCTATTCTCTACTATCCGCCCTCCCCTCCCATCCCCTCCCATCTTTTCTCTCTACCCCTTCTACTGTAATTCATTTCTCTCCCTTGTTTTTTCCCCTTTCCCCTCACTTCCTCTTATATGTAATTTTGTATAACGATGAGGGTCTCCTTCCATTTCCATGCAATTTCCCTTCTCTCTCCCTTTCCCTCCCACCTCTCATCCCTATTTAATGTTAATCTTCTTCTCATGCTCTTCCTTCCTGCTCTGTTCTTAGCTGCTCTCCTTATATCAAAGAAGACATTTGGCATTTGTTTTTTAGGGATTGTCTAGCTTCACTTAGCAAAATCTGCTCTCGTGCCATCCATTTCCCTGCAAATGCCATGATTTCATCATTTTTTAGTGGTGGTGCACATTTATAACACCAGCAATTCAGGAGGCTGAGGTAGGAGCATTGCAAATTCAAATCCAGCCTCAGCAAATTAGTGAGGTTCTAAGCAAGACCCTGTCTCAAACAAGAAACAGATAGGATGGGGATGTGGCTCAGTTGTCAAGCATTGATAGGTCCAATCCTTGGTACCAAAGAAGTTTTTATTTCCCTCAGATTTTCATTACCAATAAAATTATAAAAATAACCTTAGTTGTTATGTACAGTTCTTTCACATGAGAATACAAACTATGACTATTTTAGCAACATAAACACTTACTTTGCATTGCATATATCATTTGAGATTGAATTATTTCTAAAAATATATCTTGTGGGATCAATAAGCATTTTCAAGTATTTCTCATTGAAAGATGGGAATGATTTGGGAAAGTTGGAAAATGACAAATGAAGGGCATTGGATGTCACAGAGATCAGAAAGTGTAACAAAGTGAATAATGAGTGGAATTGTATGCAGAACTCAAAATCAAAGAAACGGAAACTCTGCATTAACATAGAAGGACCAAGTTCTGCTTCCTTCTAAAAAAGAATTCCAGATTCTGACTTCGAAGCTCTGAGCCTTGCAATCAGAGGCACTTATTCAGTCTCCAAAGAACTGACACATTTATCTTCCTGTATCACAGAGTCTTCTCAGAGCGCTCTGGATGTCCTTGTTCCTCAGACTGTAGATGAAGGGGTTCAGCATGGGGGTGACCACAGTGTACATCACTGAGGCTGTTGCAGTAGAGCGTGAGTTTTGGGTCACAGCAGAACTGAGGTATACACCTAGACTTGTGCCATAAAATAAGGAGACCACAGAGAGGTGAGACGCACAGGTGGAGATGGCTTTGTACTTGCCCTGAGCTGATGAGATTGCACGGATGGAGGACATTATTTTAGAGTAAGAGTAAAGGATGCCAGTGAGGGGGCCACCTCCCAGCAAGAGAGCAGCAAAATATATCACCACCTCATTAAGAAAGGTGTCAGAACACGCACGCTGAACCACCTGGTTAAGTTCACAGAAAAAATGTGGGATTTCCAAGTCTGTGCAGAAGGATAGCCGCAACATCATTAAGCTTTGCAACAATGAATATAAGACACCCACAACCCAGGACACCAGAATTAGCAATCCACAGATTCTGTAGTTCATGATGACCATATAATGCAAAGGGTGACAAATGGCCACAAACCGGTCATAGGCCATCACAGTCAACAGAAAAATGTCCAATCCTGCAAAGAGTACAAAAAAGTGAATCTGGGTGATGCAACCTGCATAGGTAATGGCCTTGCTCTGTGTCTGGATGTTCACCAGCATCTTGGGGATGGTGGTGGAGGTGAAACAGATGTCCACAAAGGATAAGTTGGAGATGAAGAAGTACATGGGCGTGTGCAGGTGGGAGTCTGAGATGGTGGCCACAATGATGAGCAGGTTCCCCAGCACAGTGACCAGGTACATGGACAGGAAAAGGCCAAAGATGAGGAGCTGCAGTTCTGGGTCCTCTGCAAGTCCCAGAAGAAGGAATTCTAAAAGTTGAGTATCATTCCCTGGTTCCATATGCGTGAGACTACCAGAAATGAGAAAAAGAGCATAACTTATTTTCCCATAGACAGGCATTACTCATATCATTGAAGTGAAACAATACATAATTAATATTATGTGCAAGGACCTAGGTTCCATCCTTATCTACAAAAGGACAAAAAAAAGGGAAAGAAAATGAATCACCTTCTATAGAATATGAGTGGTTCTTGTGCTCTAAGGAACACTGTGCCATCTCTGATGATGAATTCCTGTTTCACTCTCAAGATTTCCCTAAGAAGTCATGTATTTTGTAAATCTAAAGAAAGTTTTCCATGCATTTGAGAAATAGAAATGGAACACTCTTGATGAACACTTTGATTTTTTCTGTACCTGGCTGTTGTGAATTGTGCATCAGTAAACATGGAAGGGCAGATATCTTCAAAATACCCATTTTATTTCTTTGGCTACAAACCCAGTACTAGGATTGCTGCATCATGTGATAACTCTATTTTAATTTTTGTGGAATCTCTGGATTGATTTCTATAATGGTTTCATTTGTTTACATACCTACCAAATCTGGGATAGGATTCCCTTTTTCTCCACATTCTCGCTGACCCTTGATATCTTTGGTCTTTTGATCATAGCCCTTCTAACTGGAGTGAGGTGATATTCTACTGCAATCTTGGTTAGCATTTCCCTGATAATTGGCAATTTCAAGCATTTTTCATATGGTTATTGGCCATTTGGGTGGGGTACAGATACAGAGTGGAATAATATTCAGTTATTAACAGAAGATTGAGTCCTGTCTTTGGGGACAACATAGGGGAATCTGGGGGATATTATGTGAGGTGAAATAAGCCAGGTACAGGAACACTAAAGCTGCATGACATCATCCATCTGCAGATTCTTCAAAAGCTGCTCTCATAGAAGCTCAGCAGAGCATGATGATCCCAAGAAGCTGAGAAGCATTGTGGGAACAAAGGGATGGAGAGGAGCTTCTCAGGGGGGACAAAGTTACAAAGCTGAGAAAAGGAATAACTTCTGGTGTTGTATTGTACAGTCAGGTAATTATAATTAACCATAATATATTACATATTTTAAAATAACTAAAGGGGACAGTTCTCAGTGTTTCACCACAGAAAAATGATAAATGTTTCAGGTAATTAAACTAATTACCCTTATGCAATTATTTCACAATTTATACACATACAAAAACATAAAGTTATTACTATAAACTTCTATAATTATGTTAATAAAAAATAAAGCAATAACTCATTATTGAATATCAACTATATTCCAGGTAATTTATCAGTAATATGTATAAGGTACAAAAGTCCCCATAATCCAATGAGAGGGAAAGTACTAAGCAAAATTTTTTTTTAAATCACATAATATGACACATGGTGGTGGGAACTATGAAGAAAAAGAAGGAATAGAGAGTTACTGTACTTTCAATAGCAATGCAGGAAAACAGGGCGGGAAACAAGTTATCCTCAGCAGTGTGACCTTCCCTGGGGGAATAGCCAGTGCAAGATCCCCAGAAATTTATGTGTTTTTTTCAGAAAATCAAGGCTTAAAGGAATGTTGTTGGTGAAAAAAAAAACAGAGGGAGAGTGATGAGAAAGTTGTCAGAAAATGTTGAGGAATGAGCTGGCCTCATTGCTCTCTGCAGCTACAGATACAGGGAGTCCTTCGACCACACTTTGTAACTCTTAAAATTGCTGCAAAGACATTCTGTGAACTGCTGCAATATATAACCTCAGATACCCTTTCTCTGAACACACCATGAGGCACATAAACGCGCACACACACACACACACACACACACACACACACACAAAGAGGAACACACAACACACCCTGGGCTCTGGTCTTATTTCTGCCATGGCTCTCAGCCCCAGACACCCTGACAAGGCTGTGAGTGTCGACAACACAGGTGAGATGATCAGTTCCCTTCAGAATGTGAACAGGGTACCTGTAAAGTCCACTCGACACACTTTCCATGAACAAATGAGCAGACCCACTTAAGAATGCTGCTCCTTTTCCTTGTGTTTAAAAAGGAGCATGAAATCTGTGCAGTCAACAGAGGGAGGAAGAGAAATAGAGAAGGAAGGGGAGTGAGAGAAAAGGAGAGAGAAGGCAAAGGGGTGGGAGGAACATGAAGAGGTGAGGGCAGAGAGAGAGAGTGAGCTACGTGGACCCAAGGGAACAGGACCTTGCAAGCCCAGGTGTCTCTTCTCCAGGAGGGAAAGGCTGCATTGGTCCTGGCAGCATTCCAAACCCAGTGACCCTTGCTGGATGCCCAGCACAAACCATAAACAATAAAAGTATGTTTTTTAAAAGACCAAAGTAGTGACATTGTTTTCTTAATCTACATTTTTAATGTTTTATTATTATATTGCAGTGATGCATAATGTTGGGGTCACTTGACATAATCACATATTAAAAAAATATGGAATATAATTTGCTCCACTTCTGTTCCTATTACCTCTCTTTTCCCTCCTCTCCTCCTGAACCCAATAACAAACACTCATCTATTAGAAGACATTAAAATCTGTAGACTTTCAGACACTCCCCACAGATACATCTCCACATATGTGCTGTGCTTATGTAAATGAACCAAGGGACAATATCAAAAATCCGTGGAAAAACTTCCTGATGTCAAGGCACCTGAAAAGTTGTTCACTTCAAGGGAAAAAATGACCCAAGATTAAAAAATAACAATTCACAAAAGGAGACATTTAAAGTACCTACATAAAAGGGAGAACTTTTAATATGAACTAGCAGATCTGTCACTCAGTTTCTGCTCCTTTCACCTGACCTATTGATTTTTCCCTAGTTACGTAGAAGATAAGGCAAACCTCTTTCTCCCTGTTTTAAAATTCACACAGAATTATTTTGCCCTTTCATTAAGTATATATGTGATAATTCAATATATGTATCTGATATGTAATGAGCAAATCAGGGCAATTAGCATTTATATCTCCTTAAACATTTATCATTTCTTTGATTCATTTACACTTGTTCTTGGGTTTGGGCTTTTAAATTTTTATGTTTTATTTTGTTAGACAAACTAATTATATAGGTTTTGGGGATACATTATGATGTTTGATACATGAATACATTGTATTGTGATCAAATCAGGCTACTAGCAATAAAATGTAAAAATAAATTGCTAGAGACATGGAATTAAAAGATCAGGAAGTAGAATACAAAGTTATGATGCATCTTTTCTAAAAATAAATAAACTCAGATGTACTTGTGTAGGTTGAAGATAATCTTTAGTGAAATGATGAAGAGGATACCGTCCCACTGTTGGCCAAAGGGGATAGTATAGTATAATATAATAAATATTATATAATATAATAATATAATATAATAATATGATGTTAATATAATATAATATAATTATAATATAATATATTGTATATTATATTAATATGATATAATATAATAATAAAAACATTAAAGACATAGGTTAAGAAAACAAAGGTGGCTTTTAGATACACAACTGCATCTCACTGTGGAAAATCACAAGACACAAAGACATAACAGATATGTGAAAATAAGTTGGAATTATGTTGAAAAGGTGACATATTAGCCCAGGAAGTGCAGAACAACTTTCACTAGCATTTTTTTAAAAGTGAGGATTCACAAGTGAAGAAATATCAGAGTGAAAAGCCCTGGTAGGAACCCAATAACAAACACTCATCTATTGGAAAACATTAAAATCTGTAGACTTTCAGACACTCCTCACAGATACATCTCCACATAGGTGCTGTACTTATGTAAATGAACCAAGGGACAATATCAAAAATCAGTGGAAAAACCATTGAAAGAATTTTTTAAATTTTTTAAAGAATGGGAATAAATACTCTACAAGCCCAAGCAAAGGGTCTTTTTTATTTTATTTTTTATATTTGAGGACAGACAGCATGCCTTTATTTTTATTTATTTTTTCATGAGGTGCTGAGGATTGAACCCAGTGCCTCACACATGCAAAAAAATGCTCTGCCACTGAGCCCCAGCCCCAGCCCAAGCAAAGGGTCTTAACAATTTGAAATAGAGAAGTTGACGGCCATCCCATTAGGTTCATATTCACAGGCTATGAAATAATTGCAAATTTAAACTCTTTATCATACCCATTTTCATTAAGGAAGTAAATTCATTTTTCATGTGGATACCCAGAGTGGAAGAAGATACTGTGATATAGCTGTGTCAAGAGTTTCTGTTGCAGGAATTTACTTACAAGAAAGTCCTAAATGTGGATCTTTCTCACGAATATGAAAACATGCTGAAATATGCATATATATATTTATTTATTTATTTATTTTTTAATGAGATCCCTCCAGTGCATATCCCTCCATAGTTAATACTGAATTTGTCCATTCCCCTTCATCTCGAAGATCCTCAGACTTAAATTTTACTTTGATTTGAACCACTTCATACCTCCCATCCCACTTCTAATGAGCTTCTGTTACCATAAGTTGATGAACAACAATGATCCTGTGTTGCTGATTTCTGGATCACTTCTTCTCTTAGTATCTTATAAATCCATTAATAAATTAATTAAGGTAGCCACAGACACCACTATCTCTGGGCTGCAGGCCAGGCTAGTTGGCCTCTTGGGGAATCTCGGGTGAAAGCTCCTGGCCTTCATTCTCTTCAGTAATATCCTGTAGAGTCTGCTGGGTCCTCACACTCACCTGGGTGGCATCTCTGGTGGGTGGGTCTTCATGCACATGCATCAGTTCTTCTCTGGATGCTAAAGTCACAGAGTGAGACTCTGACCCCAGACAAGAGAACAGGAATGTGTCCAGCTTTGCTCCTCAAGTCAGATTTAAAGATCCTAAAAAATGAAGTAAGTCCCAAGGGCGTGCACTCAGGAGAGCAGGAGCAATCACAGGCTACAGATTTCTCTATCTGCTCATTAAGCACATGTCCTTCTTTATACTCCAACCTCTAAGCACCTGATTTCCCTGCAAGACTCGGGTCTAGACAGGAGAAGAAAAGTTCACATAGATTCCCCAGAGATC